CGACACACTTTGCCCTGGTTCGAGTCCGTGCTAAATTTCGTAGACTTGAACAAAAGACTTTGCCCCTGGTTCGAGTCCGTGCTAAATTTCGTAGACTCGACCAAAAGACTTTGCCCCTGGTGCAAGTCCAGGCTAAATTCGTTTGACATTACCAACAGACTTTGCCCCTGGTGCGAATCCAGGCTAATTGATCATGAGACCAATTTGAGAGATTCGGCCCTGGTGTGTGGGTGTGTGTGTGTGAGTGAGAGTGAGAGAGAGAGAGAGAGAGAGAGAGAGAGAGAGAGAGAATATTTTACATATATGCATATATATATTAAAATTTATAAATATAAAAAAAATATATTTTTACACATAAAATGTTTTTTTATTGAAATAATCACGATTTTAAATGTGATATAACACAGTGTTCAAAATTTTTAATAAATTTTTAATTAAATTTATTAAAGAAAATTACTTGAAATTTTACATTAAGAATTTAAAGGCTCCTATTCTCTTGTAGAAATTTATCACTACGCAAATAATCACTTATTTGAGTATTTAAAATACTATAATATACAGTAATTTAAGTATTCGAAATAAAAGTGATTAATTACTCGAAAATAAGTGATAAATTGGCGTTACTAGTAATAAATTTCTATAAGGGTTGAAATAAAGTATAAGAGATAAATAGGCTATATGTGAGCCGTATGCGAAATGTGAGATGTAGACGCATATTGAAATTTAATTTTTCGATATAACTTTCAAAAATGTACACGAGGTACAAAAAATTAGCTTGGACATTTGTAAGACTTAAAATTGGGATTATTCTCAATCTATTAATAAATTTCGATATAACACACCTATACATCCGCGCACGGCTCACATATATATAGCCCATTTATTAGTGCAATTTTAAGTTCCTTATTTTTCAAAGTTCACTTTTTACGTTATCAAATATTTTTACGTTTTCAAGAATTTTATATTTTTACTTACCGCAGTTTCTTATCCAAATGTAAAATCTTTTATCGCAGTCTATAAAAAATTGAAACAATTTACAATTTATGAATATAATATTATTATTATTACAATTTCTATATATATGCACATCTGTCCAATATCGTGATTTATTTCACATATTATTATCTATTTAATAAAAAAAAAAACAAAAAACACCTTGCAACAATCAAAAATAAACCGCCTGCCGCGAACGGAAAAAATGCCAGAAAGCACGCAATTTCCGCGAATCTCGTAATTTTTTTGAAAAATCAACAATTTCAACGAAATTGTAAATTCTTCAAATCACTGCACAAGATAATTCACAATAATAATTTTCAGTAACTACGATAAAAAATCGTATACTGAAAACCGCAAACGAAAGTGCAATGGAGTAAGAGTAAAGTCTGTGATATAAATTAATGGCAATAGAAAATTAATAATTTTCAATAGAAAAATTTTGAAATTACCGAGGATTTACAAATAATAAAGTAAAAATATTAAATAATTTATGTGACTTGTATAGTGAACACATCAACTTGGCGGAATCTTGACTACTCATCAATTAAGTAAGCAATTTAAACACAATTAAGATCTTTCACATAAAAAAAATAATTATTTAATATAAATTAATATACCAAAAAAATAAAAATATACTTAGACAATCACGGTGAAATATACTGCAATGACGAACTTACTCGGAAATACTTGATGATGGGGACTAACTTTTTGATGCTGGATAACATCTAATTGTTTTCAATTCTCATATCAAGCGGTTCTGACGATAATTTTAACTAATAATGTTCAAAAGAATTGATGACGTGGAATGGGCCGTCAACCTGTTCTACTAACAACAGGGAACTCGTTTACATGTTTTTTGACATAATCAAAAAGTTTACCATCTTAAATAAAAATGGTTAGCCGATTAGAAAAATATCTAATTAATTAAATGTTATAAGCGTAACCCAATTTAAATTCATCGACTTATTAAACCAAAATGTTCATTAAAAAATAGACTCTAATGCGTAATATGTCATAATTTTTCTTAGAGATTTTTATTGTTTTTAATTTACTGAAGAAGGCTGAGGGTAACAGCCGAAACGTTTTATTATTTTTATTATCATTGTATCTACTAAGAAATAAATCAATTATGTGGTGACATACATCTTCACTAATTTAATATGCTCGTTAAGTTGGCCCTGTCTTTCTAAATCTTACTTTTATAATATCACACGAGCCTTGTCTTTAAATATCTAATTGTTTCCTTATTAAATTTAAATAATTTATGTTTTCGAATTTTGCTCGCGAGAGGATCTTTAAAACAAGATTTTTAGAAGAGAGGACCTTTAAAATATAAACAGGCAAAAACGTTGGAAAAATAAAGCGCGCGTTTAAACAGATAAACGCAATGAAATAAATACGCAATTTTTTACTTATCGCTGTAAGCTCACAAGCTTCTGACGTGCTATACACTTTTATATATATATACAAGGTGTCCGGTAACTAACGGAACCAATGATTAAGGGCGGATTCTCTGGCTAATTTGGAGACGATTTTTCCTTAGCAAAAATGTTGAGAAGTCAATAATTTTTCGAGTTATAAGCGATTGAAAAAAATAGGTTTTTTGAAAACTAAACGTTTTGGAGTTAAAAGTCTAACATAATTACATTCTTCAGTTAATTTCAGGTAGAGTTTACTATAATAAAATTTAATTTAAGGCTTAGTTATAAAGATACATAATGACACAAGATTGGAAAGTTGTAAAAAATGATGACCTTTTTCGACATTTTTGCTGAGGAAAAATCGTTCCCAAATTGACCAAGAATCCATTTGTAATCATTGGTCTGTTAGTTACCGGACACCCTGTATATTGGACACGAGTTTCGTTTGTTTCAGATTCTCGAGAGTTGAAGTAGGAACATACGAGTATCATATATCGTTTGTGACTTGCCGAATGAAAGCAAGACAGAGAGCGAACGAGATGATGAGCTTATAGCTCATAATGTTATAAATAAATAAATAAAAAATTATAACCTGACCTACTAGTTATTGAATCTTTTTTAATAAAATGTTTCATTATTATTATCATCTAAGTCTAAGTCGTTTAATTACTTTTTAGTTTTTTAATAATTAATTTAATTTATTCTAGTCATTTTTATATGAGAAAAATAATATCACGTATACGTTTTATAATGAATTAATATATTTCGGGAACGAATTATATATTCTTAATAATATAAAAGTGTTCAAAATATATTTGACTTTAATTTTAATTATTTTATAGCAAAGAGTTCCGAAATCTCTTACACACATAATGGGGATTTTTTTCATCCATATAATTCGCAATTAGTATATATGTTAATTATTAATTTTAATAAAATAAAAATTAAAATTAAAGGTCAAATATAATTTTAAACATAAATATAATTAAGGTTGCCAGTATAATTAATAAAAAAACCACTCCTCAATGTTTAAAGTCGACCAGACTGGCATAATTATTATAAATAATTAGTTGAAATACAACAACAACGTTTTCGGCTGTCATTGCAGCCCTTTCAAGTACATCAAATTTAAAAACAGTAAATCAACATTCTATGCAAACTACGACAATGTTAACGCTTGTTTTGATGAAACAATGTAAGACTGACAGAGTAAGCACATATTAAATAGATGTTAAATGTTCACAAGAATCTTAGTCACATGACTAAGATTCTTGTAACAGTTAAATCTATTAATATGTGCTTCTTCTGTCAGTCTTACATGTCATTCAAACAAGCGTTAACATTGTCGGTAGTTTGCATAGAAGTTGATTTACTGTTTTTAAATTGGATGTACTTGAAAAGGGCTGCAATGACAGCCGAAACGTTGTTGTTGTATTTCAATAATTATTATAATAAAATTATTGCCAGTCTGGTCGACTTTAAAACATTGAGGAGTGGTTTTTTATTTTAAAATTTTTAACACAAATATATTTAATTAATTATAAAACGTATACCCATGATAGTATTTTTCTCGTACAAAAATAATTAGAGTAAATAAATTAATCATTAAAAAGATTAAAAATTAATTAAAGAATTTAAACTTATATTTTATATATATAATAATAATAAAACATTTTATTACGTCAAACCGTCGTGAATAATTAAATAAAATTTGATAGTTACGTCAAAGTAAAGTTTTCTAAGCTTATAAAACATTTTATTAAAAAACAGATTCAATAATATAAGTACATGTTTATATATCTTATATTATGATCTGTTTTTTTTATAAAATGTTTTATTATTATCATATATAAATAAAAATTATTTAATATTTTTTATTTTTTTATGAGTAATTAATTTGTTCTAGTTATTTTTGTACGAGAAAAATACTATCACGGGTATACGTTTTTATAACGAATTAAATATATTTATGTTCAAAAATTATATTTGACCTTTAATTGTAATTTTGTACTTTATTAAAATTCATAATTAACATATATACTTAATTGCGAATTATATGGATGAACAAATCCTATTATGTGTGTAGAGATTTCGGAACTCTTTGCTAAAATAATTAAATTAAAGTCAAATATAATTTTTGAACACTTTTATATTATTAAAAATATATAATTCGACTCTCGAAATATATTAATTATTATAAACGTATACGTATTAGTATTTTCACATATTAAAATGATAGAATAAATTAAATTAATTATTAAAAAAACTAAAAATTAATTAAAACGACTTAGACTTAGATGATAATAATAATGAAACATTTATTAAAAAAAATTATAATAGGTCAGGTTAATATTTTATTTATTTATTTATTTATTTATTATTTATTTATTTAAACATTATAAAATTCTGTCCTTTCCGAAATACGCGAACGCTACGAAAAGATAAATCTCGTACATGCCGCCGGACGAGTTCATGAGCATGAGACGCTCTTATCTTGGGAACGTATTAATAGTTACTGCATTGACCACTACTACGATAGGGCGCTGAAATCAGTGAGAAATGCTGGTCTCTCCTTCATCCAGACCTTTGCGATCTGTCTATAATCTGTGACAATACTGACGTAAGATTCATTCAGAAATGAAACTATTCATATTTTAACCTATTCATAAAATTTGTGTACTATATATATGTATATTAGAGAGGACTCGTGTGTACATTTATACACGTGCATATATTCTTCCCAAATAACACATTGGAATTGACAATTGTAAACGTAAACGCATGTTGGGCCATAATAATGGAATATCTACAAGAAATTTCTCAATATTTATGTTCTAATGCACGATTGGATTTAAAGAGCATTGCATTGAAATATGTACTTGGTATGTATATTTGCATATTTTAATTGCATACATAAATTTTGTGTGTAAAATATATCACATGAATGTATTTTATGTAATATTTTGTGGTTTACTTTAAAAGGATAAATCATTGAGCATTTAAATATATATATAGGTACGACAGCAACTGCTGATGGTCGAGAATTGCTGTTGAAGTTACCAGAAATATTAAAACAGCTTGTTATTCTCATGCAAGATTCTTCCGATTCTATTGGAAAGGATGCTGCGCTGGCATTAGTAAATATTACTGGAGATGAGTCAGGAACTAATGCAATGCTGATTATCTCAGAGTCAAGCAATTCAATAAGGATAAGGAATACAGTCTAAATTTAATAGAAGTTTGTATGAGGTAGACATAATTGTATAATTACTGTTCATTATTTCTGTATATGTAAATATATAATATTAAGATGTTTTATAAATTACTTTTGCAGAAATATAATGAATAAATCCAGCACTTTGGCAGATCCATGTTGCATGATACTTTCCAATATGACTAGACTACTTTATTTAGTGGATCGTATTATAGCACTCATTGAAAAAAGTGGTTATACCTGGGACACAATAGTAGGTGCGTTTACTGCTAAACAATATAATACTGCAGGTGCTAAATTACACTATCTTGGACCTGTTTTTTAGCAATCTTAGTCAATCATCACATGTAAGAAGGTATCATTTAATATGATAATAATATTAATTTTAGATTTTTAATAAGCTGTATTCTACTTGCATATTTTGTATTGCAGATATTTGATGGATCGAGATCGCTGTGTTATACAACGATTTTTCTCATTCACAGAGTATTCTGATAGTGTAATCACACGAGGTGGTGTTATTGGTACTTTGAAAAATTGTACATTTGACACGGAAAATCATGAATGGTTACTGAATCCAGAAGTGGATTTATTATCATATTTATTGTTGCCGCTTGCTGGTCCGGAAGAATTCGACGATGAAGATAATGATAAATTGCCAATTAACTTGCAATATCTTCCTGAAATAAAGACTCGAGAACCTGATCCGGATATAAGGTAAATCATAAGTCAGGTGACACATTTTACGAGAAATGTTAAAGGATTTACTAATCATATTATATTATATTGTGTTATTCTAGACTTATGCTCTTAGAGGCATTAAACCAACTTTGTGCAACGAAAGTGGCGAGAGAAATATTGAGGGAAAAGAATACATATATTATACTTCGAGAACTGCACAAATGGGAAAAAGACAAAAGTTGTTTATTAGCATGCGAAAATGTCGTAGACATCTTGATAAAGTAAATATTTGAATAAGGCTTTAAATTCTGCTTTGTGACTTTCTTTTGGATAACAGAAATATATATTGTTTGTTCCAGAACCGAGGAAGAAATCGGCTTAGATAATTTGAAGGAAGTAGATGTGCCATCCGAATATGCGGAAAAGTTTTGTAAGATAAGTAAAGACTTTATTAACAGTACATAGTGCAAAAATTGATATAAATATACTATTTTGTAAATATTGCACAAAATACACAATTACAACAATAGACATACATATATACTAACGAAAATGTATTTTCATAACACATTCGACTCTTTGTATTATACTCATCATACATATTGCACTGCCCCATTTTAAATAATAAGCTATCAGGTTCAACACGTAGCAAAAAATATCCAATAACTTGATCTTTCACATATAAATAATCGTAGATCTTTGAGATAAAAGCATATAAATAATTCCTATATTTTCTGTAACTTAAACATTAAGGATGAAACAGGTACAAATAAGTAGTTGCATATCATATAATATTTATCGAGACACGACTAAGAAACAGAATCACGATGCATTCATGACTGATCCTTTTCCGATGATGATACGAATGGCAAGCTGTTACGAGACGCGTGTGTATTATTATAAATATCAAATATTTTAATTATTCAAGATTCTTTTTTTATGGAGATAATTTGTGGACGTTTCCGTCAAGGTAAGTATCCCAATCCAGCTTCGAGACTGATCGAACTTCTTATACTCGACGCGTTACTAGCCCTTCTCGAGTTTCGATTGTTTTCTCCTGCGCCGAAGACAGCTGCGATTTCCGCGCTTTTCTTGATGGAGAGCGCTTCGTGATGCGCTCCGGATCTTCCATTACCTCGAGAGGAATACTTCTTATCTCGTTCCGCGCCGCCAACGTAAACCAAACGGCCCTGAGTATCCCTGGCGCTAACTACGAGGACTTTTTCGCTGTCGGACGACTGCTGGGATCTCCGGCCTGGACTGAAGAGATCGTAGTCTAAGGCCAAGTTATCCGAACTACCGCAAGCCGGCGATGATCGAGTCTGAAGAAAGATTTATGCAAATAGATATTAATATATGTAAAATTATGAAGTAAGTTTGATGATTAATGCAAAGATCCTTCAGTTACCTTGAGAAAATCGGTGTTGCGCGATGAACTATGTGTGCTAGTCATTCTCGATCCCCTGATCCTCTCGGGACTGTCTCCTCTGCTGAGCGTGCTCTCCGAGGGCACGATACCCTTCTGCCTAAGCTGCTCCAGTATGGTCGGCTGTATCGGCTTCCTTGCGCAGTAACACTTGTTGCTCTCGGAACAACTGTCAGTGTCGCAGGCGCAGACCACCGTGTTATCAGGCACCGATGTAGCTGGTACCCGTCTAGATAAGGAGCAATAACACTTGTCCGCCGACACACACGTGCAGGACTCGGAATCGTAGCTACATTCGCTACAGCTCACGTAGCCACTGCTGCTCCTGTTCGCGGTAGCAGCCATGCTGCGACTCAATCGTCTACCTGTGTAATTTTAGAATTATTAATTACGTCAATTAGACATATTTATACTGCATTGATTCAAACAATTCGTTATGCTGTTATTTTTTTATTCCATTTTTGAGACATTGAAAAGAGAAAATCATTCTGAAACTATTTGTAGACTTGACTGAGTCGACTTGATCTTTTCACAAAATATTTCTACGTACATGTATCGCTGTCTTCCGAGGTAGTGTGACATACACCGTTCTTGTTCGCTTTCCACGAGGACTTTCTCCTGCCGAATCTACTCGCTAGTACTCGATTTCGATGATTGTTTCTGACGTCGCACGACGAACTACTGCCGAAGCTGTCGTTCAATCTCCTTGCTGGAAATATCACAGAAGTGAATTCCGTAGGGCCACCTTTCAACCTCGAGACCGATCTCTTGATAGCTTTGCCCAATAAACAAGATCGACGATTCGATCTTCGTCTCTGAGGTCTTCGACGTCTTCTCATGATGCTGGCGGATCTCTGATACAGTTCATCTTGTGTCAAGGTTGCCGCCAGTTTCAGTAAGAATTCCTTGTACAATGGCTTCAGATCATTGAACGACATACCTTCCGGATCTGAAAAAAATCGCAGAGATATCTAATCTTGCTCTCTTAATTAAACATTGTATCCTTATTTCACACAAATTATTATCTTTGATTACCTATAATAGCCGCCAAGATGTCATCCACGCTGGTCAAACCTTCCTGATTCCTGAACTCGTCGAATAGTTCTGTGAATCCTAAAGGAGTGCCGCCTTTGACGTTGTTAGCTCTCCGGGTACTTCCGGAAGTCAAGAAGCTGCCTCTTCTGGGTAGCTCGACTCTCGTCATTAGATCACCTCGGTCCACGTCTATGTCGCTCTGCGATCTCTTCAACGTAGTCTCCTGCAGAATCTTGTTCTCCGAATGACTGACAGGCGGCTCGCTGCCTGCTCTGCTTCTTCTTCTCCGAGGACGACTATATTCTGGCATATTCAGCGAATGAACAGGATCCGATTGCTCCTTCTTCAACGGTTTGTCCATAGTTATGACTCTGCTGAGTCTCTTACCGGAATATATATTTTCTGGATCTCGTGAACGTCTCTGCTGTTTCATCGTGTCATTCGAACGTGACTGATAGCGCCCGCTATTCTTCAGGTTCTTCGTAAAGATGTCTTCCTGAGAGCTTTTCACCTTATTGTTTCTATTATTCTTGCCGATGTAAATCTCCTCCTTTCCAAGACTATAGATCTTATCGGCGTCTTCGATGCGCGGACTGTAAGTGCTTTCTTTCTTTCTGCCAGTTTGCTCGTAAGTAGAATTTGTCTCGTTTCTTCCGGTTTTATCGACCTTGTCGTACATCAAGACACTGTCGGCTCTGGAAGAGTACAATTGCCGTTCGCAGTTGTCAGCGTTCGCACGATTCAAATTGTACGATCCATAATTTCTGTCGTAAATATCATCTTCCAAGTTCGCCGGTTCCTTCTTCGGGATATTCTGCTTATACATTTTCTCGTATTTGTTCGACTGCCTTTCGTAGATTCCGTTTGCGTCGTTATTCCGAGTATTGTAAATTTTATCAGGCTTTTCGGACTCGATTTCGATTTTTAAGGAGTTCTGATCCTTGGCGGAAAATACCTTGTTCTTCGAATTCTGTAACTCCTCGTTTTTGGACAACATAACGGCTCGATTGCTCTGTCCGAATTTGCTCTTCTCCATCTTGACGTCTCGTCTTCTTCCACGCGCTTCAAGGATGTCCTCCGCCTTCACGTCGGAATTCTTCTTCTTCCTACGCGGCATCTTCTGTAAACTAGACTTTGTGCCTTCGTCCTCGGTGACGGAGCTACTCATGGAACTCTTCTTGGTTCTGGGCGGCCTCACAGGATGCGGCGCGGTCGGTCTTGGCGGCGGAGGCAGCAAATAACTGATCCTGCTGCTGAGGCTGGGCTCTCGGGCGCTAGATACAACAGAGGCTAGACTGATGCAGCCGACACCGTTCGCGTGACGTGGTCGACGACGGTTCGCGTCCAGATCAGCGAGAAGAGCGCGATACAACGTGGCCGCAGCCGCCACGGCATCTTCCTCGGTTTCGCAGGCGAACCCGTGACACTCCAGAAGCCTGGCAGCCCCAGGTCGTCGCATCACCACGGCGAAGATCGGGGGATACGATTCTGTCTCGCTTTTTAAACCGCGCATCGTCCTAAAATTGAAATTCAAATTGATAATTTTATGGAGAATTTTATCCTCTCAGATATAGATTTAATGCGCATCTCTTAATTAATATAATAACAACACTGTCTAACAAAAAAATTAACTGGAACAAGATTAGTCGTTTCTTATAGTTTTTTGAATACGGATTTGATTTCTAAATTATTTTATCATGTCACAATTTGAGAAATTTTTAATTAAAGTTGGAAAAAAGGGCTTTTTTCATGAATTTTGTTATATTATAGCTACAATATGTGACGTGTTAAAGAAGTTTTATTGCAATCAAAATAGTATAATGTTAGGACTTTAAACCTCTAAAAGGAATTTTTGATGTCGGTTATGATCAATAAGACATTCCTGATTAAATGGGATGTATTGCGGAAGTTAGCTGTGACTTAGGTTATTAATGATTTGCCAAATAGATTTCAATTATAATTTTTTTCAATTATAATTGATTTAATCTTAAAGATTTTTTAGGACACTGAATACGAATTCAGTGTGAAAATTGTCAAATTCAAAATGGGAAACTCAATATGGCGAATTTATATAAAAAAGGTATTTTATAAATTTTGACCATATTGAGTACTATTTTGAATTTGACAATAAATTCGATGACCTAAAAAATCCTTAAATGCTATTTAGTAAATCATCAATGACCTAATTGTAAGTCATAGCTAACTTCCGCAACACAGCTCTCATATTTAATTATGGATATCTTATTAACCATAATCGATACCACAAATTCCTTTTGAGGATTAAAAGTGCTAACAACATACTTTATTTTGATTGCAATAAAACTTTTTTAGCAGATCACATATTGTAATTATAATAAAAAAAGACAAAGTTCGTGAAAATAGCTCTTTTTGTAATTTTAATTTAAAATTTCTTAAAATTGTGAAAGAGCAATTTGGAAACTGGATTCATATTTAGCATTCAAAAAACTACAAGAACCGATTAATCTCCCGGTGTTCGAAAAAGTAATTTTTTGTTGAACAGTGTAATAAATTGTATTTTGTTTCCAAAAATTAATATATATATTATATCAATTATATATAAATAAAATTCATCATATCAATATACATATATAATGTATAACTGAGACCTGTAGAGATCAGCGTGTTTATTTTCCAATGTCTCTGCGTGCCTTTGATCCTGATCGCCGACTAAAGGTAAGAAAGCGTGATGCACGTCGCCGGATGATATTCTCTTGCATCTCAACTTCAGGGCACTCCACACCGCTATCCTGCGAAAGGGATTATTCTTCTCACAAACTTCGCTCGTGCGGAACGTTAATCCGCGCCTGGAGATCTCCAGTTCGGCTCTGACACACCCTTCTATACGTTCTAATAGCTGACGAAGAGGTTCCTGAAGACCTCGCACGCTCGCCACTCGTCCGCCAACCGGAGCAGCTCCCATATATTTTACCTGCATAAAAAGGTACCAAATATTGTCATTTTTATAGGGGATAAATTTTAGTAAAGAAACGAAAAGAAAAAAGAAAAGAAATAAACTTTAAGTATTAAATGTACATTTAGATTTGCTTCGTCACATGATGTTATAAAATCAGTGGCATAAAGCAATCAATGAGAATAACAATTATAATGAAGTTTCATGCAGCACATAAGATTTTATTTATTTCAAACATTTTTAAATACTGACGCGTATACGTATAAAAATAGCGCTCTATGAAAAGTGCATGCATTCTTCTTATATGTGAGTGTCGTATTGAAACACAGATGGAAACCTGTTTTGCACGATGGGCAGGCAATATTAACGATAACCAGGCGGGATCGTTATATAGAAATTTTATTGCGCATGCGGAACGCGATAAAGTTCTAAAACTAGTCTCCCGAAACGAGGAATTTTGCTGTATGATCGTTTCATTCGTCGTCGCTTTAAAATATGCACGGAATGTATTGAATAAAACTCAAATCGCGTGGGATTCTGTTCTTTCGAGATGAAAAAAGCAATAACGGTTCTCGTGTTCTGTATCATAATTATCTGTGAAATTTTACGTCCCGAGTTATGCACGGAGAAAGGTATGCGAGTAAAAACACAGGATAAAATCAATGTTCAATGTAAGAGATAAACAACTGCCAGATCATCACGATTATGATCCAACCGCGCCACGCCTAAGAAAATTCTTTCGCCAAATGACCTATAATCCTAACAATCGATCAGCATCTTCCTCCGCGAGTTCTGATCGAAGTGCGCGAATATAAGGGAGGCGAAACAATGCGGCCCGAAGCCCATAAAACAGGGTACCGTAACGACAAAGGAATCCGCATACCGGTGCAACAACTGAAGGAGAATTTTTCAGCGTTCCGAATAGTTTGTGGAAGTCTGTCACGCTTCGCGAATCGTGAGCGGAATGAAAGTGACGATTAAAAATTCCGGATCGACGCCCTGAGGAAAGTCGAAGGACTTTTCGCGACGCTTTTTCTCGAATCGAGACACGTCTGCGATAATAGTGATTGCGCAATTACGTATACGCGATATGTATTGCAACATTATAGAAAAAAGAAATTAATAATTTATACGTATTAAAATGCAAATAAAACTATTTGCATTTTAGAAATGCAATAATTAAATATAAATTAAATATGGATTTTAACGATTGAGTCAGTTATCTGTTGTAACATTCTGCTATGTAATTTATTATACAAATTTATTGCAAAATTATTATAATATTATAATTTCAGAATTATAAGATTCTCTTCTTTTCATATTTCTATTCTGTTTATAAGTAACATGCATTATCAAAGCATTTTATACTGATACTCGAAGTGCTTTAATAGCATGTATTGCAATATATTATAATCCCATTTAAAGAGATATTATCATTTAATATGCAAACTAATTAAAATAGTAAAAAGTTTAATGTTTAACTATTTAAGACTGATTAAGCACAAAAGGATTTAATCTAACGTTGGATATTACAGAATTCTTGGATATATAATTTTTTTCTCTAGATTTTTATAAAAACTGCCTCCACAAATGTCTGCTCCATTCCTCGAAAGATCATCGTGCGATTTTTTCCTTTCTAACGAGCAACCAGCTCGCGAGTAATTATACGTCGATCTCAATTTTATTTCTGACACGGAATCGCTACAAGCATCATCAGGATGATTTACACGGGATTTTACGAGGCGGAAAATGCTTCTTTTCACAATATTTTCACCGATTTCAGATCCCCCATTCGATGAAAAATGAGTCAAATCAAATAAAAAGACTGCTTATAGATTTCTGAGATAAAACAAGAAACGTGAATTAATTAAAGAACAAATTAAATTTTTTGATTTAATTAATTAATTAAGTCACTATAAAAGATACATATAAAATATATATGTATGTATGTATGTATGTTTATATTATTAGGTCATATTTCTGCTCGAAGGAAAAGCTGGGTTATTCGGATACAAAATATTTTTTTGCATGTAATGATTGCCGCGTTTTATGCTTCTCGCATTAATTTCTCGTTAAATTCCGATATTATCTTCCGCGAGATTTCGCGGTGGTTTTATAATTTTGACACTGAAATAGGCGATTAAATGCGCTTTAAAGGGTCACGTTCGTTGGCGAAGTAGGTGAGTCTTTCGTTGCGGTACTTGGGTGTCCCTCAAGAGTGGAACGGAACGACCGTTCGAGCACGCTGCTTTGCGAGATTTTTCAAGCCAAAGAAACAAAAAAAACAGCGAGAAAGAGACGGAGACAGAGGGATGCACAATAGAATTAACATAAGTGAATAAAAAAATTAGAAAATAATAATACAATTTTTTACAAAAAAAAAACTCCCGACTGCTGCCAACTAAGTTTTAATGTTTAAATTAAAAAATAATGTTTAAATTAGAAAATAAATAAAAAAATAATAAAAAAATAGAAAATAAAAAATAAAAAATAAAAACAATTAGAAATAAATAAAAAATAAAAAACAAAACAAAAATTAAAAATAATAAAAGAACAAAAAATTATAAGTATAAAAAATAAGCTTGTAAAAGTTGGAAATAATCACACATAAATAAAGTCTGTTGTTTATTATATAATTTTTCTTATTTAAATTTATTGTTATCATACATATTTAGCGCTATATAATTTACAAAAATTTCAGATTTTTGAATTCAAAAAATTTTTTTAATTATAATTATTATTATTAATTCTACAATTTACAAGAGCAGTCGGGAGACGCCGCGCGTCTAAAAACTGTAACGTCCGTTGAGTATCGATATTTGTGTTTGTGTCTATTTATTACATAAAACGTGCGCGTGCGTATATGTCTCAAATTTAGCGCGGCGTCTCCCGACTGCTCTTGTAAATTGTAGAATTAATAATAATAATTATAATTAAAAAAATTTTTTGAATTCAAAAATCTGAAATTTTTGTAAATTATATAGCGCTAAATATGTATGATAACAATAAATTTAAATAAGAAAAATTATATAATAAACAACAGACTTTATTTATGTGTGATTATTTCCAACTTTTACAAGCTTATTTTTTATACTTATAATTTTTTTGTTCTTTTATTATTTTTAATTTTTGTTTTGTTTTTTATTTTTTATTTATTTCTAATTGTTTTTTATTTTTTATTTTTATTTTCTAATTTTTTTATTATTTTTTTTTATTTATTTTCTAATTTAAACATTATTTTTTAATTTAAACATTAAAACTTAGTTGGCAGCAGTCGGGAGTTTTTTTTTTGTAAAAAATTGTATTATTATTTTCTAATTTTTTTATTTTCTAATTTATTTTTTATTTTCTAATTTTTTTTTCTAATTTATTTTTATTATTTATTTTCTAATTGTTTTTTATTTTTTATTTTTTTTTTAATTGTTTTTTATTTTTATTTTTTATTTTCTAATTTTTTTATTATTTTTTTTTTTATTTATTTTCTAATTTATTGCTGTTCTTATGCTGTTTCTTCATTCTTTTGTCTCTCTGCTTCTTCATCCTACACATGTAAAAGTTTTTATTATGTAATATATATATTACAATGTATATAATATAATAATAATAATAATAAAGACACACATACACTCACCATGTGACTGCAATGTTCTATATTCTTTCCAAATATTTTTCTGCTACAATTTTTTTAATTAATATAATATAATATAAATAGAGAGATAAATAAAAAAAAATAGCTAGATAGATAGATTGATAGATAGAGAGAGACAGATGACAAAGACAGATGACAACAATATCTTATATCAAATACGTAAACTTGTACGCAGTTATAATTATGGCTTTGACAAATATATTAACTTTCTTATGGCTATATAAGTTTATACATTATGTAATCACAAGTAAGTTTATATATTTGTATAGCCTTAATTATTATTACATATGTGAATAATCTTTTGTAGTAGATAATTGGCTATGTAAGTTAATATATTTGTCTGCATTGCCATAATTATTGGTGCGCTAATATCTTTGTATAACTATAAATATATTTGTATACATATTTTTAATTAATTATATAATTATTATATAATATACAAATAAGAGAAAAAATAACTATATACATTTATACAATTATATATGTGGATATTTATAGCAATGTGGCTACGTAGCAAATTTAATAGCAAATAAGTGGCTACGCAGACAAATATAAATTCATATAGCCATGTTATGACTACAACAGATTAATTATATTATTAATTATATTATATATTTTTATTAATTATTAATAACAAGATGTTTTCTATTATTAATAATGTTTTCTTCTTCAGATATCTTCAAGCGAGTATCTTCTTCCTACATATAAATAAAGAAACAATAAATAAATAATAATAACAATATTCTAAATAAAGAAAAAAACAATAAATATAAAAGAAGAAACTTACTCCTTTATTTATATCTTCTTGAGATATATCCATAATAATACACTTCACTTAATATTGTTGTTGACAATAACACGCAACAGGTGACAGCTAACCTTTCCTATCAGTCCCGTCATTATTACTTCGAGATGTATATACCAATGTCACCAACATTCCCTATCCGGATACTACAACGAATCTCATTGGTGAATCATTTTTCCTCTTAGGTTCACACAGCAGCCAATGAGAGACCGTATTGACGAAATAATACTCATTTTTCACTTTTTATTAATAGAATAAATAACGATAATAATACGCTTTAAACCTTCCTTGATTAATAAGAAACTTATGTTCCAAAGTTGATATAAAACTATGCAGTAGTTATCGAGAATTAAGGTCACGACCGATCCGGGCTCGATGAAACGCATACTTCCTCTCTTTTCGCCAACCTACGGTTGGCAGCAGTCGGGAGAAAAATGCAAGTGCGCGCATTCGCCCGTTATACTGTAATTACAGTTTCTGAAGCCTCCGAACGATAAATCTCGGAGATGGCTCGAACAAAAGTAGCGTGCGGTGCATCTCTCTCTTTCGCGAGTAATACTCCGTGTGCATAATTATTCGTGTCATTACCGGCAGGATAGCGGCGGCGCATTCACCGGGTGTTCCACTTTCAGCCTCCACCGAGGCGAACATCGCCTCGATCCGCGCCTGGACGGCGCTATTCACCCTTTTCTGCTCTTCCGCGCTCGTGTCGTCGGGGTTGGTCGGGATGACGACCGACAATCCGGCGTACCAGCCGCTCAACGTCGAGCTGCAGATCGATCTGAAATGATCGAGAATACCGTGACTCGTTAGCGTGACTCGTTAACGAACATCGAGATAAAGGAATGTGAAATCGATATTAATCTGACAATGAATGCATTTAAAGGAATCAATTTACTGGAATAATTACCTGGAATCTTCAAATAGTGCATCGATCTGCGCCTTGCTTCTGAGGGAGCATTCCGATGGCGGACCGCCCAATCGAAAGCCATCCTCGTAACAGGATATTCCCAGAGTCGACATATTTACTCCGGATGTTGCACAAGCGGATATGCACTTGTAGATTTATTTGCTTATTATTGTATTGCCTGTTGATGTCATTCGTTCTGGAAAGAAAATCATTATTTCAATGAAATATCTTCAAGTACGAAAGCATTATTATAAATGATGACATAATTGACGTTATTTCTTCATCGATTGTAGAAAACTCGGACAGGATGATTATTTCAATATTTCTATCTACTCTCTCGCAGAAAATAACAATTTTGCGAGAAAGTTAGTCAAGGTTTCCGGAATAATTCGAATAAGACGATTTGATATTATATAGAGGAAAAGTTTTTAAGATCGATCGGACAGGATTATTCGATTTTTGTTATACTTGCTATTAACGTTGCGATGCGTTAAATCTATGCGTTATACGGTGCGTGAATAATTAAAACCAAATAGGGACTGGGTCAGTCTGATACTTTTACATATACTTTTACGTGGCAACGGTAAAAGTGACGGATAAAAGAAAAATGCACGGAGGAACAATATGAGCTCGTCGATGCAGATAAAATGGGTCGATCAAGTTGCGACGACTAAGTTGCATCTGCCTGATATCTGATATCGCGATATTATGCGAACGCAAAAATGACATCGCGGTCGATGCACTATGAGCGATGAAAGTTTTTTCTTCTACTCGGAAAATCGGAAAGAATTCAACGTAAATATGTGCACACGTAAATATAAATGAAGCTAATTAGATAATGCTAAGGTCATTATCCTGCGAGCTAGAAATCGCAGAAGCCACTGCAGAAACTGTTATTCACGGGAATATATAGAAAAATTGCGTGTTCTCGTCTGTGTTGCTTCTCGGATTTCACCGGCATTCCGTGAAACTGCACGCATTTCTTCATTAAGGCCGTACGCGCGCTGCTTTTTTAACAACTCTCGGAGAAAACTGCTCCGTCATTCGGATACGATATGTTGGCTTAAGACGAATTCGTGCGTTACATTCGCAGTTTTTACGATGCTCTTTCAATCGGGAAGAAGATATTATGCAATTCGTATTTTAATTATAAATAATTCTTATTTTACATGAAATAATAATCATACACATATCAGAGAAAAAAAGTGCCATACTTTTGCGGTGAAAAATTCAAGTCAATCTCACACGTGCGTCTGATAGGAACCAGCTGTCATTGTCTGATACAAACTAGCTTTAGATTGTCCGTGCGATTGCTCACAGTTAGACTGTACAGTTATGGACCAGGTGGATCACGAGGAACAGATCGACAGCTTTCGAAAGGTGTCAATGTCGATTCGAATCCGACATCACACACACGCAATCTGAAATAACTGTCAATGCGTGCCTTTCCTCCCCACCTTTCCTCCCTCCCGCCCTCGCGAATCTGAACGTGCGGGTTGACCTCGCGTTCGCGATCGCTTCGTGATGAAATCGATTGCCAAACAGCGGCTGTAATTAGAATTCGTTACGGTTGATCGAGGCAACGGCATCGAGAGGAATATGTTGTAAAAGAGCGGAGGCCGCGTCGCCGATAATCATCGATAATTACTAGGGGTAGGCTCGGAATATGCGTTCCCGGCTTTAATTAAATTTTCTCTCATCTCGCCGTTAAACTGTCTTAATTTTTCTGATATATATATAAATTATATACGATGTGTAACGCGTTGTTCCTCAATCGTTACGAGGTTGCGCGCAAAAGGAGACTGCCTCCTTGCTCATCGCATGAAGTCGGCCCTGAATAATCACCGCCGAGCTTCTTGACGCCGGTGACCCAGTTTCAGGATTGCACGCTACCGTAATCACCCTGGTAGCACGAATCTTAGACTCGATTGACGATTATTAGCGACTTGTGATTGCGCGGCTGTAACGATGACTTTGGAAAAATGTATTAATGTTCGCTTAAGCGCCGCGTTACTCGAAGAAACTGCGAGATTCGTAAGCTGTGATGCTGAGAGGAATCGCAGTTGTATGTGGACACAAAACGGGAGACAAAACAAAACATAAGTGCGCGCTTGATCGCGTCCGTCGAAGAGACGCGCTCATCCGTTTCTCTTGAGAGCAGAGCTCCCCGTTTTCATAACTGTCGAAGCGTCCACGACGTGTTTAAGGCAACGGTATTAAGGTCGGCGAACACATATTACGGCATCACGTGTCGATGCATCGTAGAAGAGAGCTAGCTCGATCGACTTTGAACGTCGTTCAACTTGCAATTACCAAGTTCACGGCTCGTTTCCTGCCTGCATCTGCTTTAATGGATATCGAACCGGCCGATAATTGCATGCGTGAGATATATGTACATCATTCACGCAGAGCATCAACGATTAAGTGGTATCATATGGTTCCGATTTTTTTTTTCAAATTAATTTTAGAAACTCGTGAATTTTCAACAAATTTTCTATTTTGTATTTTCATTTAAGATATATGCATATATACAAGATCTGTTTATGTTAAAAAGATATCAGCATAGGTACGGAATAAAATTAGAAGGAAGAGCAATTTCTATAATTTTCTCTTCGCACAATATGTATATAGCTTTATTGTTGTTAAATTAGTATGTATGAAATTAACGTAACTGAAAGCTCGCAAAGAGGATAATAAATTCAATAAGAGATCAATATTTATCTTCCTCGTTACGATCAACTTTATGTCAACTATTTCACAAATCCGATAAGACTAAAGACTTGCAAGGTATACCTGTTAGCTTCTGGTGAATCGCTTGGCGTGCTCCAAAAATGAAATAAAACCATCTGGATTTCGACACAATCACCACTCTGACCCGAGTCGATCTTATTCGTTCGATAAATTCGCGGTGTCATATCACAGTCAGGTACTCGAGAAGATCTATCGCGATATAATTGATCGAACCGAGATCGATTCGCGAGAGCACGCTGCACCACAACGTGCTTCACTCGCGACGATTGTTTGCCGATTCATCCGTCCTCATCTCGACGACCTTCGACGAGGCTCTTCCTCTTTACGACCACCGACCTTGGCCGCGAGTCGATCCGGATGACCGTCGACGCGAAACTGCCGGGGATGTTCCGCAGGAGAGGCGCGAGTTCTCTAGCTGGTGCGAGTCGGCGTCTCGCGTGGAACGAACAAGAGGAGAGGGATGAAGATCGGCGGAGAAAGAGAAAGAGAGCGAGAGAGAGGGAGAGAGAGAAAGGAAGAGAGAGGCTCCTGGTTGTCCGACAAATATCGGTTACTCTCTCGTTAGCCGTCCGGAAATTATGTTCCGTCTGATACGGCGTTGATAAACTTGATACGCCCATAATATCCGGCGCTTTCTTCCTTCGCTATTGCATCCGTCATTTACTTCAACAGATTTCATGGTGTGAATTTTTACCTGTTACTTGAGATACTTATCTCATTCAATACAGATCTCTGCTAGTCTGAAATCGAGCAATAAGGTATATGGAATCTCATTGAAAAGATACTTTTCTCTTCTAATTAGTATTCTCTGTTGTATGCAATTTTGTGAAAAGTTCTAACATTGAAAGTGTTCTGATCGAGTTTTTATTTTAGAAAAGCAAAACTATATTGACATGGAAAATCTTGTCTACTCACCGTCAAGCTTAAATTCTACTTTTCTTCAATCTATTTTTATTTATATTTTATTTGATCTATATATAATTCATTTTTATCTGTCATATTTTATTTATTTTTATCGTTTAGAAAAAAAGATACATACAGCACATTTCTAAATGCTTTCATGTATACTTTCTTATTTTATTCTAACAAGTTGATTAAAAAAATCGGCAAATTTATAGATATATCATATATTCCGGTTGACCGATATTGCAGCTGGTTTTAAGGTGGATCGAAGTCAAGAAGACCGGTCAGAAGATTGGTACTGAGAAAAGCAAGAGAGAGAAAGAGAGAGAGAGAAAAATATAATGAGGGGGAGAGAAACGCAATATCGAATCGATCGGGTGGATCGTATAGCGTCGCCTCGATCCACCGATCACCACCGGCATTGAAAGCCAGTATATATTTGCTATATGAGGTAACGTCGTAACCGGTAACGGTATTCTCCGCGGATTCTCGATGGCGCACCAACGTGAGGTGAGTACTGTTATTCCAACTATGCAGAAGCTGTGCGCATTCCCTCTTCGTCTAATTCTTTCACGACTGCCTCTTTGCTTCTACGTCCGTCTCGTTTCTTCCTTGCCTCCTTCGAGATATCTATAGTTCGTGATATTTTTATTCGCGTCTCTCTGTCAAAATAATTTTTTTTTTTTGACGTAAGAAATTCTTGCCCCATGAGAATGAATGAATAAGTAATGACAATTTAGTAAATCACCTCTGAGCCTCAACGCTTAGTGAAATTTACTGCGTTTCTCTCATGCACGTAATCTGATTGACGTTACTTTCAAAATTATCGTGTTTATATAACGGTATTAATAAATATGCTGGATATTTAAGTACACGAACATAGCAAGCTCATTGGCAACATATGTTTATTTATAATCGTAATTGGGAAATCTTCGTGTATGCGGATAAAAATTAATAGTATGTTATAATAATAATAATTAGTGTAAACATATTATGTGCGAAAAGATGCAGCTTTTTGCATAAAAAAAACATTACTAGAAACCGTCAATGTGTGCGAGTACTTTACCAACAGCAACCTGTAATTTTGTAATGCGACTAAAACGAAGATAATACACAGCCGAGACGGTATTTATAAAGTTCGACTTTCTCACAATTAGTCATAAATTAATGGCAGTGTGTGTTCGTCTGCTGCCGCTATCGACTAACAATACACGAATGAAAGTAAATTGCGACAGAAATTACGCGTAAAGGCCTATTCTAGATGAACGATTCTTTCTTTCATAAAATTTTAAAAGATAGCCTTCCTAGAGCGGACAGTTTTGTAAATAACAGTTTTGATATATGCAACATTCTATCAGGGAAAACAATACAAGATACCGACATAATAGCTTCATTGGACGTTGTTTCATTATTTACTAATGTTTCCGTAGATCTTGCATTAAACGGTATCAATAATAGATGGCATTTTATAGAGTCACACACAAAGATTCCCAA